CGTACGGGATGAAATTTTTTTGTCTGGTATGAACATGTCATTTTTAATAAATAGAAGGGCTTTTGAACTCAACAGTTACAATCTAAACTTACTTTCAATCTCTTTCGTACTTTAGATCTTTTTCAAATGGCAAGTTCAAGTAAGAGATAAAAGATTCTGGCTAGAAAACCACATAGAAATTCTTCTGAGAACTTCCTTTCCAAAGCAAATGAGGAATCCTTTCCTAGGTTTGCATCAGCAAAGATCACACCCTCCAGAATCCTAATCCAAGAATAACTTACCTTTCAGGTGATGAATTTATTTGCTTCAACACAGTTTGGTTTTATCCTTACCCTTTTCTATCTCTATAATAAAGAAACCTTTCACTACTTTCTCGTCAATATGTCCTTTAATTCTGACCATTCTATAATCCATTCCTTTGTCTTTAAATAAAAAGTTGAAATCACCAAGGCGGACTGAGGAGCCTTTTTGAATTTAAGGACAGAGGGAGCTAGAGCTCATCACTTGATCAACACTCATGATTATGAAAGGTATGAAATTAATAATGTGATTTGAGGAAACAATTTGAACGAATATGTGGCTAAAGTATCCAGTCTCGTTCGAAATGCATATATCATCCAGCATGTTCTTAGAACTTCTATAATTCCTAAAGGTGGTGATAGAATCAATATACCCCTCTTCTTTCAATGGTGACATTCTTGATCATGTTTAAAAAACCTATAGATGAAGCCCAACTTATCCTGGATTATCTTTATGGGCTGTCTGAAATTGGTCATGTAAAGTATAAGAGAAAGAAAAACATCGCCTTTGGACATCTAGTTGCCTACATTCTGGATAAGAAATACAATTTGGTTCATCTTGATCAAGAGTTTGAAGAATCGCTCTACTACAATGACGGATCATTTAGAGTAATCTTCAAAGAAGAACCAAGTAAAGCACATGTCATTAGTGATATAGAGGAATAACCAGAAGCTGCACCTGCACCTGACAATGAACGAAATTATCAAGATTTGGTTCAAAGATTTGATCGCCTAGAGACTCATTTTGATCAATGTTTTGATTAAATTGAGACTCATCTTCAGCAAAAGGACGCACAGTATAAGCATGACATGAGTTTTATGAGGGACCAAAAAAATGATATCAGTACCAATGTGCTTATAATGAGTACTTACTTTAACATCTTTGGTGCTGCACCTCCTCCTCCTCCTCCTCCAGATCAGGATCCTTCTCAGTAATAGTTGCACTTGATTTTATGTATTTTCTGTAGTTTGTGTGTTAGTTGTTGTTTTAAGAAAGTTTGTTGTATTTTATTTTCTTTAGATATTTTTATTTTTGTATTGATATCCTGAGCTTAGATTGTAATATCTTCATATCGATATCAATATATGTTCTCGTGTTTTGGCTTTAATGATATTGAAATGTGTGTTTGCATTTATGACAATCATTAGATTTTTTAATCTTAAATAGTAATATATCTTGATTTATAAGTTAAAATTAAATTCATTAGAAAATCTAACTTTTCTAAATTTAAGTTTTGCTTATAACTTGATGTTAATAAGATTGTCAATTTCATGTCTCTTATTTAGACTACATTATTATTAATAATATTATTGCAATTGTGATGTTTTCTTATTTTGTATTTCACTTATCAATTAATATTTATGCACTTAGACAAATTTGAAATTTTTTATTATTGATTTGGAAAGAATACAATTACTCTTAAAAAATGTACAAATGTACAAAAATCAAAAGAAATGCGCAAAGGTTCGCAATATAAAAAAGAGGCACAAAATAAGCCCAACAAGTGAAAAGATGCACAAAAATGTGCCACAATTTTGAAAAAAATGCCAAAGCGCCACATGTAGTAGTTATTTCTTTTCAGACTCTTTTAATCTCCTAATTCAAATTGATCTTATATTTATTTATATTTCATATTGAAATTTGAAATATACAATTTTTATTTTCATCATTTCTGCATTGATTTTCTCTATCTTAATGTCTAAATTAACTCATGTTTTTGATAAATTTTTTTTATTATCTATATTGTATCTCTTCTTAAATTCTATGAATTACTATGATTTGTCTAATGTTTTAATTTTATTTGCATAACTTATATCAATCACTTTCAAAATTGAATTATCAAATGATTTTCATATGTTTACTTACATTTCAAGTCTTTTTCTTCTTCACTTTTTGTTGTTGTCAAAAAGGGGGAGAAATTGTTTGATTCGCGGTATTATTTGATTCGTGTTGTATTTGTGTCTGTTTTTATTTTGTGTTTTGTGTATGTTGTATATATTGTGTGTTTATTTTGTTGTATATGTTGTGTGTTTTATATTGTTCAATGCTTCCTTATTTTCATGTGTTCATTAATTCAGGGGGAGTTTAGGAGATTCTTAGAATTTAAAATTATACAAATTATAATTATTTTGCCATCATCAAAAAGGGGAGATTGTTAAGAGAGTTGCGATTTGCATGTTTTACATTCTTGCAACATGTATAGTTTTGATGATTTCAAATATTATTATTTTATGAGTAGTTATCTCCTAACACTTTTTGGAAGAGTTATTTTTGCTCGTGTGTACTAACATTTCAGGAAAATCAAACTCCAGACTACGAAGACTTCAAATCAAATTCAGCATGAGATACTTTGTGTATTTAAAGCTTGTATTTTTCTCTGAATTAAGTTTGAGAGGGAGTGATTGTAATTGAGTGAATAAACACACACACTTAAGGAGATCTTGAAAAATTTGTACTGATCGTACGGGACGAACATAGTTCATACGGGACAAACATAGTTCGTACGGGACGATCAGGTCAGTTATCTCCTCATAAGAGCAATGGAACGAACATGAATTGAAGAAAATTTTTCTAAGTCCTGATCGTCTAGGAAGAAGTGTATTCATCCCAGGACGAAATGTTCTATGGAAAATTTTAATTCAGGCGAAATTTATATTCATTCCAGGATGAGTTACTCACTAGAGTATTTTCGTCCAGGACGAAGTGTATTCATCCCAGGACAAAATCACCTCTGGAGAATTTTCGTTTAGACAAAATTTATAATTTTGTCAGGACGAGTTGTTCTCTGAAAAAATTTCGTCCAAACGAAGCCATATACATCCCAGGATGAAGTGAACTAACTCTGAAATTTAAGTGACGTTCAGTATTTTTTTGGAAACCGACCTATGGAATAATCATTCATACCGGACGAACCTAGTTCATACGGGAAGATGTGTGTGTACAAAGTCATTTCATACCCATATACATTAGGTTCATTTCCAACGCATTTAAGTAAAATCATCTAGGACGATCCATAATTGTACGGGAATACCCAATGCGTATTGACTTAAAAATTTGAAGTTTTTGGACAGTTTTTTGTGTCTTTCCTATAAATAGTACAATATAAATTATCACTTAATCTTTTGCTCACTGATCTTCGTGCCTACTGAAAGAAGAATCAAGGAGAGAGTGTGAGAGAGTGTTATAAGAAGGATTCTTACAACTGGAGTGTGAAGACTTCACTTGGTGTTCAAAGGTAAGAATCGTTACTTTTGATTTATATTTACTTCACTATTTTTTCTCTTCCTTCTAGATTTCTTACAAGAAGATCTGTTAAGGAGATCCAGTTCTCTACCAACACTTGGAGAGTGTGAACAACCGAAGGGTTCTCTGCCCACACTAGGAGAGCGTAAAAGGACGAAGGATTCTCTGCCCACACTAGGAAAGTGTGAAAGGATGAAGGGTTTTATGCCCACACTAGGAGAGTGTTAAAGGATGAATGGTTCTCTGTATACACCGGGAGAGTGTGAAAGAACGGATGGTTCTCTACTAACACTATAAAGAGTGTAAAAGGATGATGGTTCTCTGCCGCACCGTGTAGTGGTTGAAGAGAGTTTTGTAAAGGCTTCTCCTCCTTGCTGTGGGTGCAAAAGGAGAGTCACTAGTGGTATTAGTGCAATACTCAGAGGGTGCCTCCAGGGAGTGGATGTTGGTCAAGTTTGACCGAACCAATATAAATCTCGTATCTTTTATTTTTCTGTTGCCTTTTTTATTTTTCTGTTTTACTGTTTCAAAATTGTGGTTGAAAAACTTTTTCTATAAAATTCACTAAATTTAAATTCTCTATTTTAAAATTTAAAAGAGGGTAAAATTTTTAAATACCAATTCACCCCCCTCTTGGTTAGCCGCTGGGACATAAGCTTAGGTTTAACAACCTAATTCATAGTGAACAAGTTTCAACAACAATTTCTCAAGTAAACTAATCATATGCCTAATTAACAAGAAGAACAAGCTCAATAAACACATTAATAACTTTTCTAGCTTTTGTTAAGGCTTTATTTGGGATGTCTTTCTACCATCCCAAATGAAGCCTGAATTAAAAAAAGTTGTGCTTTTTTTACAATACAATTTTTTTTCAAGATATATAAGAAGTTAGCACAGGGTGAGAGTTTTTTTTTTAATTTCCTTGATAATTGGAGTAAATTATAAGGCAAATTCATCACTTGGGAAAACTATTGGTATTTACTAGTTAATGGGAGTAAATTATGATGAAGTCAACTTTGGTCTGTTGGTTAAAAGCTTTGACTACCGATCAAGACACTTGGGATTTGAAGCTTGCATGTGTGACTATATCTTGCGTGCATGACTATTCTCAAAGTTCATCACAAAAACATTGGATACAAAATATAGAAGAAATCATGAATCAACATAAGGAAATAGAGCTTCTTAATGTCCATAAGTGCACATTGAGCATGACAATAAGATTATAATGCAAGCAAAGAGAAACAAAAATAGGCAATGCTTCGTTGGGGATGTTTTATGACTTCTTAACAAGTGCTATGGCCTCTACAAGGATGGGTAGAGCAAGGTTTGCTCCTTTCTTTGTGGTGGTGATTACGTGACAAGCATTTATAAATATCAATACTTCTCTCAGTTTCTTTTCATCCTGTAATACAGACTTGTCATCAATAAGTCTGCTGAGTTGAGTAACTAAAAATGCATCAACAGCTCCACATGTATTCAACTTTGCTAACACTAAAGCAATCAACAACCCCTCGTAAATCCTTGGTGTAATGCTTACATTCCTTATTGCCAAAAGTAACAACCAGAACCTTCAGGCTTGGCCACCACAGCAACAAAGCCACCTCATCTTCTACCGAATCCGTATTTGTTAAAGTCAATCTTAACATCAATAACTTTAATGACACCATCCGAGTCCTAGATGCACAAAATTTGTTCCTTTGCCTCGGCTACAGATGGCCACAGTGGCAGTCGAAGGTTTGGGTCACAAGAGAGGTTAACTCCTACCTTGGCAACCTCCACAACCTTTAAATTAGCTTATCTACATTGATCTATAATCAAACTTACATATCCATAAAGGAAATCTTTTTCCCTATAGATGAGATCCAGATGCATCTCAGTTGGCTTAAGAAGCATATCAACAGTAGGGTTATGATAGAACATAAACTCGCACTTGCCATAAAAGTGTAAAGTAACAAAAGCTAGCATGGTGCCCTCTCCAACATCGAAAGTAACACCTTCTTTGGAGATGACATTCTCTCTAAGGATCGCAACGAGCATTTGGCCAAAGTCATCATCGTTGAGCTTCCATGTTAAAGCTGCACAGCCTGTGAGGTGAGAAACACTAATGGTGGCATCTTCCAATTCCTCTCTCAGAGCCTTTATGAACCCTATCACCTCTGCTAGCAATATGCTTGACACCATCAAGACAAAATTGATTATCATCTCCTTGAAACTCACAATGAGATGATCGTCTATGTTGCTACCAACAACCATCACCAAAAAGTGAGAGAGAGAGAGAGTGTGTGTGTGTGTGAGAGAGAGAGAGGATAGAGCTTTAATATATTTGATTTCATGTTTATTCTATTAATGACAACTTAGATAGCTCACCATGATGATGATGATAGTTAATAAGAAGTGTTAATTTTAAATGTCAAATAAATAAAAACTATATTAAAGAAACTTGAGTAATATTTCATGCTAAACATAATTGCATATTAATTAACTTCCAACACTTATATTTATGTTGAAATATATGACAACCTAAAGTTTTGCACAGTTTCTTCAATGAACTTGATATTATGAAACAAACCAGGAGTTTTGGTAAGGTTAGGCATTTGTAAATATTTGTGATTTTAAATTTAACAAATACTCTCTTAGTATTTCACTTGAGTAGAGTTTGAAAAACTTTCTTTTTTTATTAATTAAAATTTTATTAATAGGTGGAAGCTTCTGTTTATGTTTATGATTTCAACTAGACATATATAGAATTTTGGGTGCACATTTCTTCTAAATCTAATAAATTAAAATGATGTAATGACTTTAAAACTTCCATTGAAATAGTTAGTTTGATACTGAAAAATGTCATCTTGTTTCTTTCCGCATGATAGAGTTCACATACATTCTTTGTACATAAATTTAGTTGTAGCATTCCATTTTGTTTCTTTTTTTTATTTTGATAAGAGATGAGGAATGTTTCTGAGATGTTCCTGACAATTTTCCTTGTAATTCTTTTAACACCTTAGAAGGGTTGAATTTAGCCATATGTTTGTATTATGATCAAAACACTATCTTACAAGTGTTTTATTTGTGTGATGTATAACCTATTTATATTCTAATATAGATTTAACATAAGGTTATAATATGATCTTCATTTTAGGAGCAAAAGAAAATTTGAATCTCAATAACCTATCTTTTTCTTTTATCCAATTCTTTGTCTGGAGTAATTGAACTATGTGATTTGAATAAGAAGAATATCTTATCTTCAATCTTATGATCACTATATTGGTGCATACTATCATGCGCTATAACCTAATAAAAGAATTAAATAATGAACCTAATAATCTCATCCACAATACAGGTCATTCGTGAGCTTGCTAAATAATCCGATAATTGGTAAATAATAAACATAGTCTTCCAAAATTTTCATTTCAAAAGAATCAGTTACATATAAATAGTCTCATCTGTCATGTCTGGGTGATCTTGAGTATCTATACTCATATAGAATAAGCAACAAAACAAACATGCATATGAAATAAACAAAAATAAACACCCAGACATACTCAAAACTATCCCACTTAACTTACATATTAGTCTTATAGATCTCTTTTATGATGCATTTGAGACTCATTCGAAAGCAAACTAATGGTTGTAATGGGGTAGAACTGTAGTACTTAATCAGAGTGTTGCGATGCTAAAAAACTTGAGATTATGGTGTTGCAATGTCACTATTTAGCATTTTGGCTGAGTGCAACGTCAACGCACTCTGACACCCTACACCAAGGTGCTCCAAAAGTGACATTCTTTGATTTTGTTGAATTTCATACCGAACATTTGAGACTCATTCAAAACCAAACTTAATCATCTTCATGCACTAAAACACTTCCAAAGATATGTAAATGATTGAAAAACTCAAAAGTTCAAATCTTTACCTTTTTCAAATTGGGTCGGAACATGTAGAACAGAATGCTAATCCTGGAGGTGTCACAAATTGGGTCATTTAAACTTTGTGGTTAGTGCTAATCTAAAGTTTTATATGTATTACTTATTCACATATTTATGTGGTACATGAAATGATGACGTCCCGATACTCAACTTCCACTTATGCAACTCATAAATCTCCTATATCTATACATGACATATGGAGCTAAAAATAAAATAGAACCTCCCACATCTACATATAATAGATGGGGTCAGAAGTATAATAGAATCTATCACATCAAGAAGTTTTGGTAAGTCAAAGAATGTCATGTGCTTCAGTATAAAAACTCAATTAATATGAAAAATAGCATGATCATTACTTATCAAATAAACAAATAAATTGCTATATGCATCTTTTTTAGAAAATAATAATAAACTAATAAGATTCAAAATAAGAAGTTAAAGAGAAATTAGATAATTTTGGAAACCCCATCACTAGTTTCATGATTTAATAATATATACTTTATGTACCTTTTCTTATAAACCAATTTTGTCAACATATGCGAAACCCACCTTTCTTATGCAACTCCTAAAATGCAATATCTAATAAATTCAAGGCACATGCAATATCTAATAAATTCAAGGCACCATTAATCATGAACATTCCACCATGATCTTAGGGTTGGCAAATGCCCACTCTCAAAATTTTTTTTTTTTTAAATATTTATAGGGATTTTTTGGAATATTTTGAGTATTTTGGGTATTTTGCCCCCCCCCCCCCCCTAAAAAATATTTTTTTCTCTAATTTTATCAATCCTAGGCATTTTTGCCCATCCCGCACAATAAAATTTTTTTTGCCCACTCTGAAAAAAGAAGCTGGATCTGCCCCTGACTATGTGAGTAGATCTCCATTTGCATGCTTATCAAAACATATATTGGGTTGATGATCAAGTTGATTATACATAGGTGTTCCAATGGTTATTGCTCATATCTCAATTTCACACCCATTTTTGTTGTGTTAAAAACACACCACCATCACTCACTCGCCCATCGATGCTTCGTATCACTTTCAAAAAATATGGCTATCGCAACACAATTTTTTACTTTTCCTAGTGGGTATAACCACCACTAATTTCTTCATAGTGACTTTAAACATGCTGCACCCAGACTGTAATTGAAATGCACTGCAATGATATTCTACTAGTTTCGATACCAACGGGGTAGATTTGACAAAGTGTTAGATATAGGAGCGGTTATAACCGACACAAATGTATAGAGTTATAGAAGTCATATAACTCCCATAATGTATAGATTTATAGCGGTCATAATCGTTACAATTCTGTAATGGTGTGGTATTTATAATTACCATAATGTACAGATTAAAAAACAAATCAGAATTGGTTCATCTTCTACAATATCATATGATGATCACCTAAGAATTATTCAGATTACATGCCCAAAGGACCTTAAAATGGAATGCTCGTCAATTATTTATTGAATGAGAACAAATATGTATATTATAAAAGGTTGAACAGGTCTAACAAGAATTTATTAGGAAAAAATATAAATGGCTAGTCCATGAAATTTAAAAATTAAACACATAAACATTACGTTAATAAAAGTATAATTAATGGCATTTTAGTCTCAGGCTATTTAATACTAGCAATTAATCCATCAACTCGTCAAATATGATTCAAAATAGTTCCAAAATTATAATTACAGCTCTAATTGATGAAAATTTCACAAAAAATTCATGAATAATGTGGGTATTGAGGGTATTTTGGAGAAATTAAGTTCTCAAATAACTTCATTGCATTATGCACCCCCATTCATGTACTTTATGTTAAGTTTTTATCAATTTAAGTAGCACTTCTAACTTGGGAATGTGACCAAAATGACAACTCATAAATAATCTATGGACTAATTTAACCTTTTCCTCTACAATTAAAATTTCTCCATTCTCAAAAATGGGATATTTTTAAACATATTGACCAAGAATTGGAATGAAGGAAATAATGATATTAACATATACCATAGAATATAATTAACTAATTGTTTGTTTGTTTTAAAGGAGCTAAAGTTTGCTTTAGAAAGAGGCAAAACAAATTAGAATTAAAATTCTTTGGGAAAATTTTGGAATTTCAGTTTTGAAGTTGAACACATCATTATAAAAGATATATCACCTCAAGAGGCAAAAATATCATTCTCTAATAAGTTCATATAATAAAACTATGAATTCAACCTTTTTTTGATAGTCAAATTCAAGGAAAAATGACATATCACCTTAAAGGGTCAAATTGAAATTCGATTGAGTACAAAGCTATAATAATCCTGAAGAAGGATCATTAATTTCATTGTCAAAGTCTTGGTAATAAATGATATATCTTTCCAAAGAAATAAAATAACATTTATCATCGATCTTTCAAATATAATGATAATGATCGTCATTAATTTAATTTTTCCCAAAGAGAATTAATTAAATTTTAAAATAGATCTTGGGCATTAAATCTCCACAAGTGCAATCCCTCATAGTTAATTATAATGTAAGAAAGTTGAGTTTCCTACTAAAACTCTTGATTAAAATAATCATACAAATTTTATTTAGAATTCTCAAGGATTGATATCAGAGGATTGAGGCTGGAGTTTCAACTGTGATTGGATCAAATTTCAACACTTATTTCTTGGGGTTAATGAAGGAGAAGTAGGAGGAATTTTGGGATTGTGAACTAATTAAGAAATGCCTCAGCTTATCTTCTATGTTGGGCTTTGAATCTTAAATTTGAAAGAAATTTAATTTGAGTTATCAATTTATTAGAAAGTTAGGATTATATTGCCGAAGATGAGGACTTATGATTTTGAGTATACCCTAGATTCTAAATATAATTTGGGCACTAAACAATAATGGCCAGAACCTAATGAATGTTGTGCAAATCTGGACTTATCCCATCTTGGATTAGGGAGCCAAGTAACCACCTAGCCGCATTAAAATCATTTGTTCGGTTTTTATGAAAGATTGATGGGTTTTTATTTAAGTTTTGAGAATTTGAGGCCGACATCTAGGGCAACTCCTAATTGACCCCTTGACTTATATAGGGTGAATAATACTTAAAATAAAATTAAAATTTTATTGACTCTTTAATTGCTTTATAATGCAATGCATGCTGGTTGACCTTTGTAAGCAAAAATGATATGAAGCAGTTTTAAAAAGGCTTAAAAATAGATTTTTCTCGAAAGATTCCACAACATCCTCTTGATAGAACTACACCATAATAGTTTTTTTTAATATTGCTAAGTGTTACTAAATTCATAGTTTTATTATTTTTGAGCTCTATGTTTCCATCTTGCTTCATAATTGG